CCGGAGGATGCAGAGGAAGGTCACAATGATGAGTGAACCAGTAACTGGAGGTGCGAGAGGGAGATGTCTGTCGTCAGGCAGCGAATAGAGTTCGGAATTGCGAGTGCATTTGAGCCTAGCCAGGCTCTCTGTACGTGACCGTATTCAATTACGGTCGTCTTATTTATAGAAGTAGTGGACTCACAATGTACATAGTGGCTTGATAGTCTCGTGATATCCTGATTCTTGGGAAATTGCACAATTGAGACCTGCACCGTTGTGATCACCGCCACAGACGCGTTAGCGCCAAGAGAAAACGTGTTCACGTCGCGGTTGCTCCGCTCTCATCCTGTTTCGTCCTTAATTGCGAACCAAATCCCAATCAAAATGCGAGCACATCGTTCCGGATTGTTTCAATCGAGTGTCGACATCGCAGGTGCTAGGTGTAAGACGACGTCGTTGTTTGCCGCGATCAGCGCCATTCGTCGGACTGGCCACTTTTCGGTAACGGTTACATGACAACTTGTCGCACCTTCAATATAATCGGTAACCTCGAAAGCTCGACTTGCCAGCAGATGTTCTTGCAAGGCGAAGTCACTGGAGTTGAAAGGGAAATTCTTGCTGCGGAAGTCGGTATCGGCGAGAAAATCGAGTGGCTTGTGAGCGGAAGGGAACTACACAAGACTGGGAATAGGCAAGTCAGTGTTTTCTGCTGACGTCTATTGTAGCTGCGTACTGACTCAGCAACGTCTGCTGAGCCTATGTTCCAGCTCCGTCCGGCGAGTAGCACACTGAAAAACCCGCATCGTACACGGCGCCGCTCGATATATGCGAGGCCATCGAGATTGAAGGGGTACTCTACTGGCCACCTATGCCGGGAAATCGTGACGGATTGTCGAAAGGGAGACCGAGATGACAAAACAGCAGGTTGCGCGGTAGGAGGGATCTATGGCCCGGTCGTATGTATGTATTGCGTGGCCCGCAATCTTTCACAGTCAGATGGCACCTCAATAGGGTGTCAGCGACTTTGTTGCACTCTATTGCAATCGGAGAGCTCACCGTGGATTCTATGCCTCTCATCGGAATCGAGGTGACTTATACACGCTCTCGACCGTTTCAAATGATTTCTTACGTTTCGTCCCCTGTAGGGCCATTCATTGCGCTATAGGGATCTGCTCCTTGTCTAGTTGTCGCTGAGACCAACGTCGCTGGCATCGCCGATGTCTGACGCTGACACCAGGACTTCCGTCCCATCAGCTTTGCCATCGCGCTGGAAATTCGTGCAAAGACAACCTAGCCTCGCTCGTCTTCGACTAGCCTTCAATCTCTATGGAGCGATTGTGGACAACTTGACTTGCGGCCAATATTCTGCATCCTGTATGAGATGGCTGCTGTTGATGCCATATGTTTCGCTTCGAGGAAAGCCACAAGTCTGTTGTTAGTCTGCTCCTTCACTACGACAGCACAGAGAGGTGAGGGGATCAGCCCTGGCAAATCATCGAAGTTTGGGAGTCCGAGAAAACATCGACAGGGCGAGCACACGCAATGCAATGGATGAAAAGACTTCGACGGTCTTTGCCGGATAAAGACATCGATGGCGCGCGGCGGTGTGGCTAGTAGTAGTAATTGTGCCACTCCTGCTGGCCACCAAGGTGTGGCCCTTGCAACGCATATAACTCAAGAAACAATTCCTTTTCACCGTGCTCTACAAGATGCACACCGTTCGCAGGGTCATATCCGCTCTGCTTCACGAGCTTGGCCGACAAGAGTGAGAACTGGTCCATTACGCCCTTCAACAAATACGCTGTCAATTTGCGATCATCGTTCACTCTGCAACTGTCAGCTACTGGCGTAATCTCACTGTACATACCAGCTCCAGTGAACAGAGATATGGACGTGGTCGTAGCGTCTAAGCATAATTCGAACCCCTTCAAAATAGCAGTCAATGGCGGTTCGGCAAACCGCCCAAATCCACTTCGGCCGCCTTCTGTCCAACCCATCGCAGCCACATTCTTAGTTAACGATGGACTCATCAGTCTTGGTAGCAACCTATATGCAGAAGCTGAGTACGTCGACCGTAAGCATTGGTGATGGGCCGGCTTACCTTCCCAACCACTTCTCCGTCATGATGCTTCGCCAGAGATATATTCTTCCCGTTTCCCTTGCCTTCATTCGATCCCTTCTAACTTTTATCAAATCCCTTCATGATTTGTTCCTAATCTTCTTCTCATTGATTCCAATCCCGCTCTTGCAAGTCTTGACAAACGTACTATATCGCGCCGCGCCATTACCCTTGTGGGTTTCTTTCGAGATCATCCAGGAAGCGCAAGACTTGCTGCTCGAGCGACACTAAGTCGATTACCCATTTGAGAACGTCGATGCTTACATCGAGCCCAACGGCTACGAGCACGACTTTCGGGCTCCTCTTACCGACATCATGCTGGCCAGAGGATCTGTAGCACAGCCTCAGTCGCCGGTCAGACTTCTGAACGTCATCGCCTATTGCCCTGAGATATAGGGACATCAGAGGTCAACAGATATAACATCAATGTACAGAGGAATCATACACGTACAATCGGTAGTCATTCCGTGGGATTATACCTTAAGGCGGATCGAGGCAAATCACGAGATAATAGGAAAAATGAGGAACAATGGCTGCGGCCATCAGCTGATAAGCGCCCATTGATTAACCACCCCGACGCGCCTTGCCTTTCTCCCCCCACTTGTCTCCCAACCACCACAAGTGCTCTTCCCTTTCATCCCTTCTGCCCTCTTACATCCACCTTTGTAGACACTTCGCGCTGCTCTACAGAGACGTACTTACTCTTCTGCCTACCTCTTGCTTTGTTATCACTTTCCCATCCAGTTCGTCTATGTCGCGTGTCCTTCCGAAAATGGTCGCGTTTTTGCAGAGCGCTCGGGCAGCCCTTCGAAAGAAGATTGTTGACCTCATACATACGCGTCATCCTCCTCCACAAAGAGAGTTAATGCAACGGTCTAGTGTTACCAACTTCCAGGTCGACACTAGGAGCACACAATTCAACACGGGCAAGGACGAGGACGACAAACTGGTGAGTCTTTCATTCGTCAATTCCGTGTCGAAATGTCTGCTCACCATCCACTGCGTTTCAATGTATTGTTGGCGGGTCGCGATAGTCGGACCTCTTTGTCTTCAACGCGTTCCAAGATTGCGACTTGGACACGATAAGCGAGATTGTTTGGGCAGAGAATCCAGCTGGACACCAGGCTACGGTAGGCTGTGAAGTTCTAAAGGAATGACGTGCAATGTACTGAGGAAGTTTCAGGTTGACGGGGACTTGGTCAAGACGCTTCAGCAGCCGATATCGGGGTACTCCTTTGTGGAGCCTGCCCCGCACCTCGATGGCCTTGACTATGTCGTGGACTATGCAGTGAACACCAACGAAGAGGTTAGGGATGGGGGAGAGGCTTTGCTATATGATCGGTCCATGGTAGGCTAAATATTGTTTCGCAGTCGTGGCATGCCACTCACTGCCACTACAGGTCAACAAGCGCTTTGGCAAGCCGGTCTTGCAGACCATTCCGGAGCACTCAATCGTCAACTCGTTCGCCGATGAAGAGGAGGAGGAGGAGGCGGAGTCCATCTTCTGGCTTGAAGGCTTTGACTATGTTGCGGACTTTGCTAACTTTGGAGACGATGGGGAACGCGGCACGCCTTCGGTGAGTGGCATGCCACGCGACGCAACAACGGAAAGGCAGACGACTGACTTCGATGTACAGGACGACGAAATCGCAGCGTGCAATGCGATTGATGACGGCTCCATGGACAACAGTGATGCGGTGGACTCCAGCACTGAGTCCGACGACCCAGCTCTTCCTACCACACCGACGTCATCGTTCTACAACGTCCCACGCGCCTCGACCGACGGCCTTGATGCTCGCAAGCATGCCAACGTTACGGTCGATCTTCCGATAGGAACGCCGTCGGGAGCTCCTGTTAAGCCCTGGACAAGCGAGGAACTGGAGGCGAGGAAGGCCAAGATGGAGGCTACCATTGAACTGATATATGAACGGTTTGCCAAGATCTGCGGCGCCGAGCGAGCTGAGGAAATAAGACATCGTCCCGTGGCACCGCGCAACGTTTCTACTCAGCAATACTCTGCCAGCGAGGTTAACAAGAGATGCGCGGAAGTTCTCGGGCGGCTCCGTGAGACAAGGCTCCGGATCGAGAACAGTATCAAAGAGAGAAGGGAATTGAGAGAATTGAGGGAATTGAGGCAGAATCTGGACCCGGCTAGCGATGACGATGGGGAAGACAACCAGCAGGATTTCGGCCACCAAGGAGATGCTCCGGAGGATGCAGAGGAAGGTCACAATGATGAGTGAACCAGTAACTGGAGGTGCGAGAGGGAGATGTCTGTCGTCAGGCAGCGAATAGAGTTCGGGATTGCGAGTGCATTTGAGCCTAGCCAGGCTTTCTGTACGTGACCGTATTCAACTATAGTCGTCTTATTTATAGAAGTAGTGGACTCACAATGTCCATAGCGGCTTGATAGTCTCGTGGTATCCTGATTCTTGGGGAAATTGCACAATTGAGACCGTTGTGACCGCCGCCACAGACGCGTTAGCGCCAAGAGAAAACGTGTTCACGTCGCGGTTGCTCCGCTCTCATCCTGTTTCGCCCTTAATTGCGAACCAGATCCCAGTCATTTCCCAGCCAAATGCCAGCATATCGTTCCGGATTGTTTCAATCGAGTGTCGACATCGCAGGTGGTAGATGTAAGACGACTTCGTTGTTTGCCGCAATCAACGCGCCACTCGTCGGACTGGCCACTTTTCCGTAACGGCTGCATGATTGATTGTTGAATGTTGCATTTCGTCGTTAACCTTGTAAGCCCAACTTGCCAGTGGACGCATTTGCAAGGCGAAGCCTCCCAAGTCGAACAGAAATTCTTGCAACTTGCTATGGGAGTCGGCGTCGGCGACGAAATCGAGTGGCTTGGGAGTGGAAGGAAAGTACACAAGACTGTGGATAGGCAAGTCAGTGTTTTCGGCGGACGTCTATTCTGTGTACTGACTCAACAACATTGACGTGTCCGCTGAAACTACGCTCCAGCTCCTTCCGAACAATAAGCACATAAAAGACACGCATCACAAATAAGGCCATTCGATATATGCGAGGCCATCGAGATTCGAGGGGGCACTCTACAGGCCACCCATGTCAGGGAATCGTGAAGCATTGCCGAAAGTGAAACGGAAGTGACAAAGCCGCAGGTTGAGCAATAGGAGGGACCCATGACTTGGCAGAGCAATGATGGGGTCGGTATCCGGTCGTACGTTTTGTCGAAACAATAAGTCTTGAGCTGACGATGAACTGCTCACGATAGGTCCTTCGTAGATGCCAAGTGTTGCATCATTGACACACGACGTTTCGAGGGAATATGCTGCAACGCGCGGCCACTGCGTAGCGTGACCCGCAATCCCTCCACAGTCAGACGATACCTCCATGGAAGCGTCAGCGACTTCGTTGCACATTATTGCAATCGGGGAACTCACCATGCGTTCTGTGCGCCTCTCAAGGTGACTTGTACACGCTCCTGACCCGTTAGAATGACTTATTGCGTTTCTCTCCTGTAGGACCGTTCATTGTGCTATAGGCGTCCGCTCCTTGTCTTGCTTTCGTCAAGATCAATGTCGCTGGCACCGTTGATGTTTGACGCTGGCATCAGGGCTTCCACCCTCATCAGCCTGACCATCGCACGAAAATTCGACCAAGCACAATCCAACCTTTGTCATTCTTCGAATAACCCTCAACATTTATACGGTGATTGTGAGCGATGTGATCTGGGGGCAATAGTCCGCGTCCTGCATGAGATGATCGTTCTTGATACCATAACGCTCGCTTCGAGGAGGCCACAAATCTGCTGCTGGTCTGCTCTATTGACTATAACGACGCGGCGATGTGAGGCACCAACCCTGACACAATGTCGAGGTCTGGGAGTCCGAGAAGCTCCGAGAAGATATCGACACGACGAGGACACGCAATGGACGAAAAGACTTCGACGCTCTTTACCGGATAAAGACAATTTGGTGGCGGCAAGGCGCGTGGCGGTGTGGCTTGTTTGTGCCACTCGTGCTGGCGGCCACCGATCTATGCCCTCGCAATGCATGAAACTCAAGAAGCAATTGCTATTCACCGTGCTCTACAAGATGTAAACCGTTCGCAGGGTCATATCCGCTCTGCTTCACAAGCTTGACCGACGGAGTTATACCTGGTCCATCATGCCCTTCAACAACACGCTGTCAATTTGTGATCTTCCTTCACTCAGCATCAGTCAGTTACTGGGCGTTATCTCACCGTATGTACCAGGTTCAAGGAACAGAGGTATCACGACGTGATCGTAGCACCCAAGCCCAATTTGGTCTTCTTCATGACAGCATTCAGTGGTGCTTCGAGACCGCCCGACAGTCCAATTCGGTCGCCTTCTGACCAACCCATCGCAGCCAACATCTTAAAGCCAACGTTGGATTCGCCAATCTTGGGGGCAGCCTGTACGTACGCAGGAACTGAGTACTTCAAAGTGAGCGTTTGTGACACGCCGGCTCACCTTTCCAACCACTTCTCCCTCGCGATGCTTCACTAGAGATATCGGCTTGCCGTTGCCCTTGCCTTCGTTCGGTCCTTCCCAGTTTCTATCAAATCCTTTCATGATGTTCCTGATTTTTTTCTCATTAATTCCAATCCCGCTCTTGGTCGTCTTAAACAGCGTAGTATATCGCGTCTTGCCACTGCCCTTGCTTTGACTCTTGAGATTGAAAGCGGTCGCTAAGGCATGAATTTTCTTCCTGGTCCCTTTGTCGGCCGGGGGCAATGCCATGGATACCTTCTCGATATCATCCAGGAAGCGCCGGATTTGTTGCTCCAGCGACACAAGGTTGGTTATCCTGTTGGGCATGTCGACGCTCACATCGAGCCTGAAGGCTGCGAGCATCGCCTTTCTGCTCTTCTTACCGCTTTTATGCTGGGCCAGAGGATCCGCAGCGGCCTCCAATCTAGCTTGAGCCCGCTTTCGTTTATTTTCCGCTTTCTTCTCGCGATCTCTCTCCCACTGGTCTTGAATGGTGCTCGGAGCACATTTATCCTTGCCTCGAGCTGGAATAAATGTGTCAATCGTTGAGAATCACATCACCAAGATATGTAGAATCGTACGCACTAGGCTGCATCATAACTGCAAAGTCGTCGCCATCAAAGTCGCCGTCACTGATTGCTTGGAACAGCTTCTTCCCTGCCTTCCTGCCTCCGCCATTGAGAATGTCGCGATTCTCATGGAGTATATCCTGCACACGGTCAGACATTGACTCGATATCACAAGTGACTGTCGTACCTCCAGCTCAGCGAAAAAGTCATCGTCGTCGTCAGCCCGTGTCATCTCAAGCTCGTCATCACTTGAATCAGCTCTCCCCTTCCCTCTGTCACGAGCGCGTATTGCTGCCAACCTAGCCTGAAAGCTCGATTTAGGACTGGCTTCATCGTCCGAGGATAAGATGTCGTCGTCATCATCATCATCATCTTCTTCTTCCTCCTCATCTTCTTCATCTTCCTCCTCCGGCTGCTCGCCTTTGGCACCCCCGTTCTGGTCATGAACTTCACCAACCAGAGCACGTTCCCCCTCGTCAAAGATATTTTCTATTTCCTCCTCCACCTCCTGACGATCGCGCTCGCTCTCATTCTCATCACTGCTGCTGCCGCTATCACTGACTCGTCCGGCCGCCTCCTCCTCGTCTTCTTCCCTCATACGCTCTGTGTCTGCAACATCATCCATCGTGACATGCCTAGAGCCTTCCGCGCTCATGCTGTGCACGAATCTGCGCATATCCTCGAGCGATATCTGCGTGTCAATCTCCATCGCGCCCACTCCGTTGGAAATCTCGTCGATCGCATCGCCTTCGTCCTCGTCAGAGTCTCCCCAGTTGACGTCAGAGTCGCCTCTGCGCTGCTCGCTCTCCCGCGAATCTTTCTCCTTCCCATGCACTTCTTCCTGCAGATGTGCCTCCGAAAGCATCGCGCCATACGAGCCAAAATGCCGCAAAGGCCTCTGTCGGGCCTTCTTCGAACGTTTCAAAAGCGAACGCGGGCCGCCGACTGGGAACAGTTTTCGAGTCTGCTTCTTCCGCGTAGTAGAGCCGAAAGCGAAGGACACAGACTCAAATGCCGGAGTCTCAGGGTTGACAATTGGAGCTGGTGCTTGCAACTGTGTTGGCGTAGTAGTAACTTCTGCTTGTGCACCTTCCGCTTGTGCGCCTTCTGCTTGTGCGTCGTCTGCCTCTTGAGGCGCGGAAATCCCGACACCAGTCAGAATCGAGGTCATAGAGACAGCCTGGACGGACGTGTTCTCTTGTGGCTGCCGTGTAGGCGGCACCGGCCCCGAACGCGGATGCGGCGCAACGTATACAATTATCTCCTCATCATCTTCGCCGAGTGCTGCTTCCACCAGGTCAGCCGCGATGACATTGTTCGCAGGCTGCTCGGTGACCGGGGTAGGTGTAGTGTCCACAAAGAAGCCAGTGAACTTCTCCTCTAGCGCTTTGATCTCTGTATGAGCATCTTCGGGCTCGCTTGTTGTGGATGTAACGACTTCCACGGCAGCCACTGCATCCACATCTGCTTGGATCTTGCCCAAATCTGCGAAGTCAATTTCCTCCAATCGGTCGTCTTCCGACTCCCCATGTAAATCTTCACCGTCGAATACATGGGAGACCTTGTCTGCTGTAGGAACATGGCTCTTCTCATCATCCGCTAACATCGAGGTCAGCAGGCTGGCAGCAGGATCAGGGGGGGGGGAAACTTGCCTACTGGTTCTGCCATGGGCTGAAGGATATCTTCCTCCTCTTGGAATAGGGTTGCGGTATGTACCGACCGCACAAACACAACCGGCTTGAGCAGCGGTCGATCTTCGCTGAGCAGCTTCCCCAGAGGCACACCCGCACGCAGCCGCGACTTCAAATAGGCTTCACTCCTTCCACTACGGCCCTGATCTCCATATGGCGTAGTGTCGCCTGAGAATCCTCGTCCTCGCCCTCGTCCCCGACTGCGAGGGCTGTCTGTTCCTCGCGTTGGAATCGGACTGTTGTAGCCTGATCCCTGATTTCCTGGCCATCCACGGCCTCTGCCTCTAGGGGTGATGAATCCCCCGCGAGCTGGCGGATCATCTGCGAGCAGATAAGCAGCAATCCTTCTCACTCCACCACCTGCAACGGTGGATGCGAGGATTGCACAGAAGGGCAAAACTCACTGTCTGGCCACTGCGAAATGGGCAAGTCAAACTCGTCAAAGGGGATATATCCACCTCTTCCCCTTCCGCCGCGGAAACCGTTGCCTCGACTGCCTCCTCGTCCGCGGCTACGACCTCCTCGTCCTCTGCTCTGGTCACCACGGAATGCGCCGCCTCGGTTGTTGTAGTTTCCTCTGGACATGTCTATCTATGCAAGAAAGATGTGGTATAGATGAAATCGATTCAAGCAATGCAGCAACACAGAACAGTAGCAGGGACACAAGCAGCAAGGAGATGGCAAGAGGCCGTCTCAGAAGCGTCTAAGCGCCCTTTGGGAAACGGCACGCGCCGAGTCGGCGCTTACTGCAGCCTACTGCTTGGTGCACGCCACCATGAACTACCAGGACTCGGAGCAAGTCATTCACGACAGAGTCAACCTCGGACGGCTGGTCCGTAAACTGGAGAAGACGGTACAGGAGGAGGACTGGGACAATACAAACGTATCTTCACGGCCGACATGGGTCAAGACGCAAGGGCTGCTGCAGGTGAGCACGACATGTCCTACTATTGCCGACAAGTCTCAGTTATGCAGACGCGAACTGCATGATTGATGTCGTTTGCAGAAAATGAGATATGCGCGGAAACTTCTCAGTAATGTCGAGATGTACGAAGACAGTCCGTACGTGCCTCGTTGACTACAGGATAACTTGCATCTGAATAGGCGGATAGTGATGCTCAATATGAGCGATTGCGGGAGACAATAAATCGTCTGGAAAGCGTGGTGAAGGAAGTGGACAAGGCAAGCACCGATTCGCATCTCACGCCTCTCAGAATTGCTGAACATGCCTCAGCGCGTCGCTCTCAAGCCTCATCGCCCAGCCCCAATCTTACCAACTATTCCGACTCCACTCTTCGCAATACGAGCAACAGCGCCAGTGCCACTGTCCGCTATAACACCGAGTGCTTCCAACTCCGCGGGAACCGAGCCCATCTCTCCAGACGAGTCGACCACCATAACAGCGCAAGACCTTCTATTATCGCCCTCTGACACCGCTACCATGCTGCGCGCCCCATCTTCGAACCCCAGCGTGACACTCCTCCCACCAAACCTTCCCTCATCTCCCGCCAAGTCCACTGTCACTGGCACGCCTGCGTTCCTCCAGAATTCGGCTGCCCTGCAGGAAGAGCTATCTGCCCAGCTGGCGCAGATGGCGACTCAATTGAAGCGCAATGCGATCCACTTCGCCGACTCGCTCGACAAGGACAAGGCAGTCGTCCTGGAGACGCAGGCCAAGCTTGAGCGCAACCACGATGTCATGCAGAGGGAGCGCGTCCGCGTGAGGGATCATAGATCGAAGAGCTGGGGGACGACTTGGCTTGTCCTCTTGAGTATAATGGTCGCAATCGTCGGTTTCATCTTGACCTTCTTCGTTATCCGGTTCACATAGGAGAAGAGACCCTGCAGTTCTCATTTCTGAGTGGTTTCAGTAGCGTTCTGTTCTCACGGTACATCGGTCTTTGTGTACATCCTCCAGGGTTTACTGCGTCAAGGGCCCCAATATTGTGCGTATTATCATATTTCGTACTTTAGGAGCTGATTCCTGCGACCCATGACTTCGGCGAGCCTTTGACCCATGAGGCAATATGTTCTTGCAGCGCGAAAGCCGTTTCCTGTGCGCTTGATGATGCAAACGAACGGAGCAGGTCACGTCAGGGTATTTGACAACTCACTACCAGCATGACTGCTCCAGAGCATCGAGAACGCTTGTGTCGAGAACAGCCTCATTGGTTCTTCACGCAACGCAGCATACAACCTGCGCATCCTCAAAATATACATAGGATGCCGTAAATGAGGCACCGCCTTCGGAAGAGGCTAGCGATGAAGACACTCATCCAGCCATCGTGTAAACCACGTTGGCCCCGCAATACCAAGGTCCTAGCGAGACGTTGACATAGCTAAAGCCGACTCGGACTAGCACTACCGTGCAAAGAGCCTCGATCATCCCCGGTCTAACCACATTCCAGCAAGTGTATATTGATCCGAGCCCTCCTGATCAGCGCTATATACATTCCAGGACGGGCCGCACATCAGCCGCTGCCTTTGCAAGGCATGCATGCAAGAACCGTTACGTACTGCGCTCCTGGCCCCCTGCTCGGACCGATATCTAACATGCGTTCTACCAGGCTCTCAGCGCGACTCGACCTCGTTCCGTGTCAAATACCTGCTGGAAGTGCGTTACGACATGATCACCGCCTCGATCGATGAAGATTCCGGGGTGCGGTCGGTAATCGTACCGTAGTGCTCGGATGATCCTGCCGCGGCTGCGTGGACGGTGTCGCCGGTACGGTCGTGATCTTTCACACCGAGCTATTCATATTGAGATAGGCCACTTGCTGCACCACCAGAATGGCGGGAATACAAGAAGTTCGGCGACATGATACTGTCAAAGGGTAGGCCCTGTATCGAACACGTTCGTCAATTCAATATGTATGGCGCTAACGCGAGCGATAGGCAAAGAAGTCTGAGAATCGTTCCCGATCGTCTGGGACGCGGTTCCCAGTGCCGGGTGTTATTGAACAGTACCCTTGCATCTTCTCATCGAAAGATCCAAGATGATTTCCAGAATCCGTGCAAGTGATAGGCTCAACACGTTTTTTTACATGCGGTGCGCATCCTGTAGATTTATTCGCATTTCGATGATCACTCAGTCAACCTTCCTTCCTGGGCTGCTGGTGAGTCCAGAACACACGTTCCAAGTTGTACTCAATACTCGCCATAGGACTGGCCAGTTCAGGACAATCTTCCTAGCTCGGAGGCGCTCATCTAGTTGCTATTGCTGGTGTGAACATTCGGCGGTATCATGGCATTCCCAGCACTGTTAATAATGAGGTGAGTTTCACTCTGCAGGAGAGCTGATGAACAAATCATATCTGTCTTGTAGACAAGCGCAGCACCACGCGATTTTCCAATCCTGAATCTCGTTCTGGACAGCTCAATGAATTTGCGCATTGTCGACGCAGGTATATTGTCCAAGGTAAGTGAGTCTACGAAAGACTAGCATGTGCGAGTAACATAGTGTGTCAAGGTCGTGCTGCAGCGATAGTACAAGCTCGACTATATGCTAAAGTGACTAGGCGAGATCCCAACAAACATGAGATCGTCGCTACATGATCGTAGTCCGTAAGGCCTGCAACGCAAGCCACGATTCGTGAATTATAGTCTAAGGAAGGGAAGGAAGAAACGAAGGAAGACCGTCCATATCGAGTTGTGCAACGTCTATGGGCGATTGTCAACGAAGGTGAAGGCGGTGGCGCAGCCGTCTGAGCAACGGATTATTGCGAGTCAAGCCCCTGATCGCCCTCTCCGGTACCCTCAAATGTCTGGTGCGTCTTTGATCCGCGTTGTCATCTACGACCTCGATCGCATAGGCTACCTACAACGGCGCAGCCACAAACAGATCCGAAACTCAACACAGCCCTCGCACGCTATACAAAGATAAAACATGCACTCACACGCAGGTCCTGGGTCATCTGAATGGCATACACCCTGCCAACAAGCACCCTCTCTTGGCCGGGGGAACCCCACCAAAACCGGACTTCGTCATTCAGCTGCGGCCTCTGTCAATAAACTAATCATCCTAGCACCCTTCTAATGCAGGGCCACCCACGCGATATCTTGTCCTGGCATCGAAGTCGGCAGCCATTGGCGTACGTGACGCTGCGCTGGATCTTGCACCCGCACCGCGAACAGCGATTCATCCCGCCTTGCCACCGAGGATGCGCGCCGACGTCGGTGCAGCGACGGTGAGGGGACAGTAGGGCGGCGAGCTACGTTATCGCGGCAGATATCTGCGTATGATGCATGCGAGGCGAAGCTTCGACGTCTGGGCTGCTGGCAGGCGTCCTTCTGCTGCGGGGCGAAACATCAGGCACAAGGCCATCCGCAACCGCTCCCGATACCTTAGATCCCTTTTCTGCAGGGGACGTTCTGTATAACCGCTAGAGCGATATTCATCATGGTTGACGCGGATGTTCCGTCTCAAGCGAAGCGCAATCTGCCGCGCGCGGTAATTACAAATCCTCTCCGATTGCGATGATCGAAAGGAAAGGAGTGCAGTTCTTGGTATCGTCATCATTCTTGCAGACACAAAGGAGCCTCTGCTCGTCGGGCATTGATGGGCGAAGGTGACTCGCATCTCGAGAGGGGGAGGGGGGATTGTGTGACCAAGCGGATGTCACCAGTAGAGCGAGACCCTGTCCAATTGCACTAGCCTACGTACAAGCAAAGCTACACCGAGATCCACTAGTCCAAGTGTCCAGAAGCCACGTCTTTTTGCGGGCCCGAAATCATAAGCATTGCGTTTGAGGTCATCACGTCACAGAGTGTCAACTTACTGTACTATATACAGCCTAAACACAATAAGCAGAGATCGAATGAACATCTTATCAGCAGCCAGCGACAAAAATGGCGGATATACCGGACCCAGGTAAACCTAAGACGATCTGAAACAGTTGCCGGAACAAAAAAAAATACAGATATCGCGAGATCTGGTGCAAGCTCAACTTGAAAGTACTACCCGAGGTGCTGAATAAGTACACGCGGACGACGAGGGCAGTCCAAGATGATTGCCGCACAGCTAGAGACATTCACGTTCTGTAGCCTGCGCTACTCGACTCCTCGAAACTAGAGCTGTTTCTTAGACCAAATTGCGTTCCGCACACCCACGAGTGGCCTTCACCGCGATTGATCGGAACCATGATGGGGACAACACGATGGTGGCTTGATCCGCGAGTGTGGCTGCGCCCCGCCCGCGTGTGTATCGTTCCACCCACCCACTCCGTGGTGGCGCCACATAGCGACCACAGTCAAGAATCAAGGCTGACAGAGCTCTACCGCATTTTAAACTGCAATAAGTCTATATCACGTCCCTAGACAAGCCCACGCGCTCTAGCTGCATACACACATACGTTCCAATCTCTATAATACTTTCATATTCGCCGCTCCTCGATCCTACACAACTAACACCGAACCAACCCATCAGCGAAAGAAAAAGAAAAAAGAAAAAAGTAGTACACATCCAGAATAACGCAAAGGCCAATAATCAATAAACACTATCCTCTCGGTATCGTATATCGTATGTCGTAGATGTAGATCGTGTGTAGCGTGTGAGAATGATGGATGTAGATGTTATGCATAAGTACTCGTCTCGTCTCGTTCATTCGTGAACGTGTGCGTTTGTGGACTATGAAGCAGACGCAGAGATGAGAGCTGCCCACGCTCATGAGAGATTAAGCCGCAAGAGGCGGATTTTGAGCACGGACGACTTCGCTGGAGTGGAGTGCTGAGGGGGGGAGAGGGTATACGCAGACTCTGAAGTCGGTATCGACGATGGCGAACGGTTGAGGCGAACGAAGACAGAATGACGATGCCGGTTCATAGACGAAGCAAGACGAGCAAGCGTCGGTGCGACACAACGCCAGACAGCCCACCCGCCACTCGACCAACCGCGCCACAAATCACCGCGACAACGCCCTCTCCCACCCATTCTCCCTCTCCCTCTCCCTCCCATTCTTCCCCTTCGCACTCATCGTCAACCACTGCCACCACCTCCCCCTCGCCCTCCCATCCTCCTCCTCCTCCTCACTATCTTCCTCACCACCAGGCACGCCCAGCCCCTCGATATTCGCAAACGACACGTATCCGTCCATCGCCTTGCACAGCTCCGCTGCCGTGCGCGCATTGAACGGCGGCGTCGGCGGTGGCGTGAGCGGGCTCGGTGCGAGCTGTGGCGACCCGGGGCCCGGGGCGGTCTTGAGCGTCCTTGGTGCGAGCACAGGCGAGCGCGCGGCGGACTGCGGCGATGGGACGGAACGTGTGGACGAGAAGCTCGTGCGAGTCCGCGCGGTGGTACTGTTGGCAGCCGCAAGCGTCGGCTTCGAGTCGAACGACGATAGCGACGTGACGCTCGACTGCACAACAAACCGTCAGCCAACCTGTTCGGCCCCACGCGGTTACCAAACAAGGTGACTCACCTCCACCCCCAAATACAAATCGCTTTCCGCGCTCAAGTTCCTACTACTCGCCATCGAATTCGCGCCTGTCCCACCGCTCGCACTCCCACTACTCAGCCTTCTTTCCTTCCTCTCCCGCTCCTTTTTAGCGCTCCTCAGCACGCCGTCCAGCTGGGTCATCAGCACCGCCTCGTGCGGCGCATCAATCGACGAGCGCGACGGCGCCTGGCTCCGCCGGTGTGGCGGCGACGCTGCCGTACCATATGGCATGCGTGGCCCCGAGTCCGAGAACGTCCGTGCGGCAGTGGGCATGGGAGGCTCGACGCTCCGGCTGCTCCCCCCGTGGTGCGTCATGCTCCTGTGCCGTCCTAGCGCGGGCCTCACAGCGGGCGTCGAGGTGTAAAAGTATGATTGATTGTGTCCATGGCCCGACGACGACGACGACGACGCCACAAACCCATCGACGTCATCATAGCGTCCACCGTCGACCTCGTCATACGCGAGCGCAAGGTCGCACACGTCGAACGACGATGACGCCGACGACGTCGTATTGCGACGACTGTGTCTCCGACTTGTGCTGTCGCTGGCGTTGAGCGAGAGGGCGCCAACGGGCATCGCGAGGACGCCCGTGGGTGAGAGGAACGGCGAGCCAGGGAGGGACGCGCCCGCGCTCGACAGCTTCGGGCTCGGCAGCGGGTGGATGCTCAACATGCGATCGTGCTCCTCCGCGCGGCGCAGGGTGTCGCGCAGAAGGCGCTCGGAGCGGCTCGGCGGGCGGGTCATCGGCGGACGGGGAAGGGCCGGGATGTCCGGCGACGATGGGCGGGACTGCGAGGTGCGACGGCGGGAGAGCGACCGCGGGCGGGCACTGCTGTTAGATAAGGTATGCGGTGGGGGTGACTGTGCCCGCGAGGACAGGACGGGGATGGGAGCGTGGATCTGGATGGACATGGCGAGCGTGGGTGGTGCGCGCTGGACAATGAAGCCGCTTCGGATGGTCAATGTTGATGGTGGGACAGAGTGACTGCAAGAGACAAGGCGGGTGTAAGCGTGTGCACAAATATGAGGACGGATATGAGCGCAAGCGCAGAGGCATGCACACAGGAGGACGGAAGGCAGGAGCGGGCATGATCACGATGATATATAATTGAAGTGAAGGAAGCATGGGGAAGGCATGCAGTGTGAAGGGACGCGCGAACTGAGAACGCACGGGCCCGGTATGGCGTGGGCTCCTGCCTGGCTTCTGTGTGTCACAGCGCTTCGACGTATCCGGGAACTGGCCCGAAGCATGCTCTCAGGCGGATAGAGTTCGTGTATGCGCTTATTGAGCCATTGCGCACCAAAATACGCTATTCAAATTGGGACGAACACTCACCGATGAGTATGAGAGCGCGCGCGGGACTCGCGTGGGGACGGCGGCGCCTGGTCTTGCGGGTACGCGGGCAGGCCGGTGCTTGCGAGCGACGAGCAGACCGGCGAGGGAGGCAGGCGGAGGTCCGCAGGCGAAAGCGGGGACAACGGCGAGAGTGGCGAGCGCGAAAGAAAGGATGACGAGGAGGGAGATGCACAGCCGGGGGCACTCGCAGGAGACGCGGGAACAGATACTTGAACGTGTGTCCTTGGCCGGAGGAGAGGCCGGCTAGAGGCCTTCCAACCGTCGCCGGCGTGCACGGTCTGGACGAGAGCAGCGTCAGGCAAGCGTGAGCGCGGACGGAGGACCCGGGATGCGATATGGTCTGCCTCGTTGTCTCCATTGCGAGGCCGAAATCCTGCTGCATTGCGCAGGTGTCCCATGCGAGCTCCGCGAACGCAGATTCGCATACTGCCGTGATCTTCCCGATGGCTTTGTGTGGGCCGCGACGGACCAGGCTGCCGTTCGCTCTGGTCTGGGGCCTCGCTAACGAGTCCGCCATGCGCTTTGCCGCCGCCGTCGCCGCTTCTGCTCGCATCGTGGGGGTGGTCGTTGCTGACGTTGGCGCGCACCCGGCTCTTGCTCTTGCTGGCAGGTGCGGGCGGCTGGGCAGGGCGTGCAGAGGAGGCACTCATCTCCAAAAAGGATTAGGTTCGCTGAGTTGATGCACGCGGTCGACACGCGAGGCTCGTGTAGAACGCGCTTCGGAACGTCGTCGTCCTACGGTGGCCCGCTGCGAGCGTCCTGGTCCGCGAGGGCGCGATCGCGGTCGGTGGTGAGAGCGTGAACGTCGCAGAGAGCAGGGGCGGCCGGGAAGAGGGGATATACCAACGGAAGACAACCATTTCGTATGCAAAATGTACTCACCCCAGAAATGAAGACGAGCTCTGGACTGCTTGTCACCCGATCAATGAAACGCTACCGTCACGCGCAGCGCGCAACCGTTGCTGTGTGTGACAGCCGCGCACGGACCAATCAAAGTCGCCACCCGCGTGACACTTTCCCGCGCTTTTTGGCGCGTATCATTGGCTGCCATGCGGTGACGTCGCGGGCGGGAATCGCCTTAAAGGGGCACCGCCCTGCTCATCCTACTTACTTGCTCAACGTCAACCGTCGGCTGTGGACGTGATTTATATGTCACACCGAAGACACACATCACACATCACACGACGCTCCTGTGGCGGTAACTTGTTCCCATCACCCACCCTCAAACTTCGGGAATTTCCCGGACCAATCAGCTCTGCGCGCGATCAGACGGGCAATCTAGACTCCGCTACATGAACTGTGGGAATTGCGCGGAGATTTAGGGCCTTGCATTGGCGGCCGTCCCGGAGTCTCCGGCGCATCCCGGGCGAGGCATGCGTGGCCAGGGGCCGCTTAAGCGGTGGCCTCTACGCCCGCACACGCTGCACGCTGCCCGTTGCGACGAACATCGGTACTATCTTTCGGCCGTCTCAGTTCGCTCGCTTGTCGCCTTCTGTCTTCGTGCATGCAGTACTTCCCTCGAACGCGATGACGCGAGCGGCCTGATGGGTTCGTCGCCAGATAGGCAAGGCCCGCGGTACCTTTCGCTGCTCTTTTATTTTTGCAGAGATTTGGAAATCGGGACAGCACGATGGGAGATCTGAGGCATCTGCTGCGTTGGGAAACTGTAGCATATGCATGATGATGCTGTGCCAGGGAACATCGATCGCGTTGCGCTGACTGCGTGGTAATAGTGAGCACATATTCGTCTGATTCTTATGACGTTGCTCAACGATTGCGTATGCCATCGCCTGCCAGGAACTCTGGAAGGACGGCCGTCGAAGCCTTCGCACGTCGTGTGATACCTCGTACTATGGCCAGACAACTCAAATATCGGACATATGACCGCGGAATATTGCGCAGGCAATGCAACTCTGAACCCGCGCCCATTGCTGACACCGACCGAGCGATCATATGCGACCACATTTTCTGTAACTCTGACCTTCTGCAGCCCGCATCACTCCGACAGGTTTGACGGACGGAGGTGCATCTCGTGCGCTCGCGCTCCGTCGGTGTATCGTCGTAGCCATACATCACGTCCCGGCCATTTTCACCTGTGATGGCCGGAAACTTGGGATAGACATCATAGTCAAGGTACCGCATGCAAGTGGCCCTGGATGGGGGAACTCCGTCCATTACAGACCCTTCAGTCTCACAGGACAATGCGCCATCTCCATAGTTGTCAAATCTCGCATCTAACTCTCCGCATACACTCATCTCCGGCCACGTTGGTGCATTTCTCTCCCCCGAGCATCTGTGTCTCCAGGTCACTGCCTGTCTATACGCGGTTTCGCTATTGGATCGCGAGCATTCCAACCTCGCTTGCTTCAAGTTCCCCCTCGTTTACTCAATGCAGCTAATCGCTTCTCTCGGAAACACCGCCAGCTGGCTTTTGCCCCTAGAAGTCCTGCCGAAATATATTGCTCAAGTTGCACGAAGTGTGGAGTAGCCCAGTCCGGCGATCCGCGAAGAAGTCGCCTTTTCGTGATAGACTCGAAGGATCCGTGTACCGTTGCCGTGGCGTCATTTTCCTGCTGGGGTGTACCATGGTGTCATCGGTTGCGCGGTTTCTGCTGCATACAGTTGCCGGCCACTTCCGATCCTCGTATGTGAACAGAGTTACCAACCTAGGGTGTCTGCTTTCTCAATTATCCGCTGCGCGGTCTTCTCACCGTTCGGGCTTCCTGCAGAAGTACCGTTCCGTTCGCTTGATAGTCGCTTTTTTGGCATCAGCAGCCCCACATTCGAAACAGTACGCAGTATGCTCGGGCACTTGGTCCCGCAAAAGTTCCCTGCGTCATTTGGCCATTGGAACGCGACCGGCCCCGAGTGTAGCGTCGTCATCGCTGCATGCGCCGTTTTCGCGACTGTCCAAGAAGAAACTCTGCCGTCTCTCCGGCGATCTATATGCGTGCATTTGACTTTTTGCGTTTGTGGCCCTTCATTGAACGCGAAGGCGAGAAGCGGTAGAGCCGAAGTCAGGAACGAACAAGGTCCGCGGCGCAGTCGGTGACGCAAGCACGGACGAATTTGAAGGTGCAGCATGTCGCACGAGACGAACGGCGAATTTGTACGTTGATTTGCTATTGGAGTAAATTCAGCTTTCTAAAAATCGTAACATCGTTGTATGCGCCGTTTCTGCCAGAAGAACGGCCATTGCCACTCGCGCCGCGCAGTTGCCCAAGGCGTTTGCTCCCCTCCATGGCATCATTGGTCGCGCGGTTTCTGCTACAAGTATATGCAAGTCTCCACTGCGCATGGGACCTTACAGACGACTTCTCCTGACTTGGACGTCTACTTCGCCAGATTTCCGCTGCTCCCTCTAGCTAAAGCGTCATGCGTCGTTGTTGCTACCAGAGCCCCTCCAGGAGTCTGCGCTTCCGTGCTACTTGTCTGTTGCGCATGTTATGGGTCCTTCGACGTTTCAAAAACAAGATGGGATCGTGATCAGGAATGGGCAACGTCAGCAGCGCACTATTCGGCTCTCGAAGGCGACTGTCGTCCCGACAATAATTCGCTTCGCTATTGGAGCCCGATCAGAGGGCGTCGCTGCTTCAAGACGTTCGAAGATAGTTCTGTACGTTGATTTGCCATTGAGGCAGTGTCAGCCTCTCAATGGTGTCGTATGCGCCATTTACGCCGTCAGACGGGAACTGGTGCGCCCACAATTTTCCATGCTTCCATTGTCGATTCGCGCTATCGTTCGTCTTCTCTCCTGCTCACGTGGGAGCTGGCGTCAAGATCAACCGAGACCCGTGCAGTCGAAGGGACACGAGTACCAGTGCGCTTTTTCCGCCAGTGCTTGTATCGCTTTGTGTATGCGTATGGCTATGCCCTTCTCGGGTATGGCGGTGTCGCGTCTTGCTGCGGCCGGCGTTTTTTTTTGCTTGCTGTGGTGCTTTGGTTGTCGCACTCGCTCTCGAATGCGCAACGCCCCCGGGGGCTGTCGGTGCCTCTGGATTGTCGGGCTTCTAGACTTGCGATGAAGATCGACGCTTGCCACCGCAACGCCGGAATGCATGCGAGTGCTTACACACCGAATGTAGGATGTACATCCCCGCTACACAGTCTCTCCGACTGCCGGATCGGACGTGGAGGCAGTGTTACGTGTGGTTCTGACGCGGTGCGACGACATTCCTCAATATTGGCAGCTTCTCTACCTGTAGTATTCCGAAGCTCGCCGACCACACGCACATCAACGCTCTCGGAAGACCATCCCATTCTTGACGAATATACGCTACCAGCCATCGCACGGTGCTACTATAACACGTCTGGTCGCAAGGATACTGTTACCAGCGTTCCGTGGTTTTCGAGTCGCCTGTCCTGGAAAGCGCACCTGTCCGGAGCCCGAGGGCGCCTGTTGCCACGAGCCCGTACGTCCGGACGTGATCCCAAATCGAGCGACGTCGACCGGCCACATTTCTATGGCGGCTCCCGTGCACGCTGCAGTCTGCTGATGCTCGCGCACATGCCTTTCGCTGGGCGTGCCGCCTTGACTTCACAGCTGGTCACTCACCCCATCGAAAAGTTCGGCCCGTTGAGAAGTTCGTCGGACAGATGAGTTCTCAATACACTGCACTGCTGCGCTGAGCTAGTCCTATTAACGATCGAGACCGTCCTCGTCCTGGCCTCAGTACCCCCGGTGATTCACCATGCTTTTCCGCGCTTCGCAAGTTGAAATTACTTGTTCGTCCTGCCGGTTGCTTCTGGTGGGCAATTTTTTGTGCCAAACGCGCTAAATGGCGGTAGGCTCGGGCATAGCAGATCAGCTGGCTACTGGCCCCGTGCTGCATCGAACGTTCGCAGAGGCGGATTTGCGCCCAGACTGAGGTGTGTCATCTGTTGGGATCTCGCTGACGTGGCAGGCGTTTCGTTGGGCCAGGTCGTGTTGCTTTGGACACGTCATGCATGGGCCACGGGCTATACACGATATTCCTGCGGCAGCCCAAAGAAGGCTGATATTGGGCCTTCTGTGGTCTGCACACGAACATTCAATACGCTCATGCGCCACACAATATGCTCAGAAGCTTGCAGGGGCCACCTTCTGCACTTCTTCTCAAGACATCTTTTGTTCCGCAGACGCCTCGCGTACCCATCTTCAGATTCACTCGAGGCATGGTGTGGGATACGATCACTGCGCGGTGGGTCACGCATCTAGCTGTGCATCGATGCTGGCCTGGAACGCGAGCTGGTGGTCGTCTGGTGACATTCCGCGCTTCGTACGCTGGCGTGGCGGAGCATCAGCGATTCTATATTCGTCCACGTTCAGACGCCTCATATTAATCGCTTGCGGGCAGATGGCGTTCCTGAACAGGCCCGTGGTCGCAGGCTGACTTGATATCGGGGCTTAGATAACGGCGAAGGGAGGGTGCAGTTGTGCGGGCGTGTCGTTCCTAGCTGCATCGATCATCGATTTTGGTCCATGAGACCTGGGTTCATCGCAAGCAGCAGAATGGAAGACGCGCATCTGCCCTGCTTCATTGCCATGAAGGTTTTTACTTCGCCTCACGAAAGGTGCAGCTGAAGCCGGCTATAGAAATTCGCACTCATTGATGACGCCATCGGAAGACATTCGTGCGCTGACATAGGTTTCTGATTTCCCCATATGTCCGCTCTATATCCAGTCCAGGTCAAAAAGAACCGTGCAGTGGAGCGACTCGTATGAATACTCAAGGCCCCGCGTGTGCGATGCAACGGACGCAAAGCGGGGTGGAACCCTTAGCGAACTCCGGCCTGTCCGATCCGTCTGAGCTAACCAACAAGAAGACGCCTCATCTTCTCGTTGTTTCAGCTTACGTGAAGCTATAGATCAGCGCAGATACCCAATCAAATTTACACGATTCCCTGAATGACTCTTCTCGTGGCGGCAAAGAGACGGTCATCACCTTCACCCTTCCTTCACCCCGTGTCGACTTTCTCGAAGCTACCGGAAGTACTGTCCGTGCCTCCGAGCATCTCCCGCACGATATTCAAGTCGCACGCCGCGTCGCGCTTTCGGAATCATCGGTCGCGTAGAATTTGTCACGCCAGCCGAGTTTATGTAGTGAACGGGTTTCTAAGGCGCCTTCGTCTTCGCACTCAGGACCGAAGGCTTGCCTCGCGATTCACAAGCAGCTAATGTCAACTCGCGGATTGGACAGTGTCAGCGTTCTCACAGGATGCGCTCCCTCGTCCGACGCTGTGGCCAAGCCTCTGCCGTAATCTTAGACTCGCAAGACGATCGGGTGGGAAGCTCTGCTGAGGAAGCATCTCCCATCGGAACCTGAAGGCTGACGATGTGCTATCGCCGGGGCGCCTCTGCTGGTCCGTTGTCTGGTGGGACCCGTGCAAATATCGGCACCTGTCCCGACCGTTCATTGAGTATTCTGGGATATTGATAGGCTTTTCCCAGATGCAAGCATGCGGTGTGGAAAGACGATGGGCCACCGTGGTTGCTGCGGAACCATTCCTCGCAACGAGAAGGTTAGCGTCCGAGGAGGCATCGAACCCTTCGAATCCTATGGATCTATTGATTGTGTAGTGTGTATACAAATGTCAAGCTGTGTTGCGATGTATGATTGCAAGGAGGATAATCGATCGGTCTCCTGGTACTCCATTTTGGTGCATCGATCCAGTGAGTGATGAACGTTAACGTTGCCGGCGGAACTGTATTGGATCTCGTACGGAGCATGGTTTTTTGTTCGTATGCGGCGTTTGGCATCTACCAAAGGCTGTAGGCCACATGCTACGTATTATTGTCACGTCGGGACGTTCAAGTAAAGAAGTAAAGCACTAAAGATAACGGCCCTCATTCTAGTTGACATTATGTAGAGCGAGGGACAGCACAATCATCGAGAGATGCCGATTTAGTTAACGACTTGAACGTTCCACGGTTTTTGATCTTCCGTTTATAGGCCGTCAACGACAAAACGTCCTTCAATGTACAGTGTGATCTCCTCAACGATGCTGTGTGATTCAAATCCCTCTGCCCACTGAGAATCAAGAGGGGAAGGGGCGCTTGAATGGTTCGCCTTCACCAAAGCGAGCAGAGGACGATCGTGCTGCTGACAGCCCCAATGTGCAACGGATGTTCAATCGCATTGAAGGACGACACAGGACGTACATCCAACGAATTCAATGAGGTCCGAAGAGGAATTACCCAGCAGGGATATAGACGATCATGCCATGACGTGTAACCTCTGTTTGGTCACGCAGACACAACAAATTTCCTCATATTCATCCTTGCACAGTTCATATCGAGAAGACAGGCCGAAAAACATGTGGGCTGAACGTAGACCTGAAGTATTGAAGTAATATCACTTGCTCGTTTTGAGAATCATGTCCAGTAAATTGGTAGGAAAATGTCACTCAATCTGTGAAGATAACCTGATGTCGACGATCGGGAGTCAGAAACAGGTAGTACGTGCAGACTGCGACGGACCGGGTGTTAGGCGGTTAGTGATGGCAACAGCAGACCCACGGTCAAATTGACGATGCAAAGGATCGTCGACCCTCTCCCGATCAGTGGCGATAAGGATGTCTGCACGACGATCCTCAATGCTATGCGCCGTGCGGCCGGCTGCAGTAGCATAATGTCGTCACCAGCTTTCCCGATTAATGTTCGCATACTGTCGCCGTGACGTCGTACAGCAAGGATGAGATCGTCGCCAAGAGCAGTTTCTACCCGGATTCGCATGAGGCGAATGGCATCCGACGCAGGATCGCCTATTTCACCATGCATTCTCGGGAGTCCTGTCTGTGTAGGACACAACTATCTACGACGGGGTAAGCGAGCGAGGCAGAATTGAAAGGAGGTCATGGGAATCACCAGAGTATGCAAGAAAATTCACTGGTCGACCTGAGCCTTGATGATGATGTCTGCGGTTTAACGTTTCTCCAAGAAAAATGCATACACTGACATCGTTGCTATTGTGTAAAATGCTTTAGTGTAAGGCAAGATTGAGGAGCCTAGATATTCAACCTCATCCATGGATATATCTTACATCGCGGAGAAGTAAAACAAATGGTTCAGCTAAAAGAAGCCAAAGGTGAGCACGCAACAATAGAATTGCCAAACGGATCACAGTCACTGGGGACATGAATAGTACTCACTCAGCCTTCCAGTCGAGTCACTGAAGTCATTCAAGCAGGTTGTTCGAATGCGACTGACTGACGACAAGTTGCCGCTTTGATCAGAATAGTCAATTTTTCATCCTGCGACGCAGCCTGAAGTACGAGCAAAGTCACGGTAATATTTCATTGTTTGGATCGCAGGGTATCCGCAACCTGCACGTCTTGGGAGGCGGAAGAGGTAGCTGGCTGCACCATCGGAAGATGAATAACTCAAACTGAATCCCCAGAATGCAACGCTCGACATTCTCGGCATGATGGCGGTAGTACTTGCTGCAGAGAAACAGGCGCAAGCGGCTTCGTGCAGTAAGGTGTGCGAGGATTCTATGGTAGTGGTATGATTGGTAAGTATTGTGTAGCGAAAAGGACAGAAAGCGAGAATCCTGATAATAGGCAACTGTATGCGCGGAAATATATGGGAGCCGCACAAATATTCGTTAAGTCTCCTGGAAGAGACCGGTCGATATCTCATTCGTAAGGGCATGTGTACTTACAATCTATTTGACGTCCGAGGGTGACAAATTTGTCCGGAGGCTGTGCGTAGACCATCTGCATCTGCACGCGAGATGTCAGGCTCGCATTTTCCGAGTTGATGCGTGTATCATTGCAGAGCTTTCCGAGTTTTCCTATTCCTGGAGGGGAAACGGTAGCTCAGCCACAGGCCATTGACTACCGGTCTTGGCGGACAATTGTATTCCAGCTGCCACCGAGCCACGCAAGTAGACGCCCGTATTTCAACCGCGTCGACGCGCCTTGGCCTCCTTCCTCACGCCTTTCCCTCGACCACCACTACAAGTGTCTGCCATCCGTAATTTCTTTCATCCAGAAACGTATGTATGAATGATAATTCTTTACGTGGGCACAATTGTTTACTTACCCCCGCTAGAAGCCTAGATCTGATATCGCTCATCCACCAACATCCAACACTCGACCTGTACATCATGACCTTGGATCTCTTACAACGCGCATGTGCAGCTGTGAAGAAGAAATTCTTGCGCAGTCCGGGGCAAGGTCATCTTCTGGCACAGAATGATATCGGCTATGCCCAGCAAATTACCAGGGTCAATGGCGAGGTCAGCCCTGTAAACCCACAGATGAATACGGTCACGGTCATAGAGAAGAACAAGAAGTTTGTAAGCCATCTGTCCACCGGTTCCCGTATTCATATGTGGGCTCACCATATACGATATGCACTCGTCATCGTCGCACCAGTCGGACACCCTCGTTTCTGATACCTGCCAGGACGGTATAATGAGTGGATCAGGAGAGATCTCATGGAGGAACCCACTGGCCAATCATGAGAGTATCGTGAGTCGAAAAGAGCCTTCTAGTTGTAGCATGCAATGCTTACTATCGACGCAGGATTACAGCGATAACTTTCACGCGCGTCTGGAAGCCATAGAGGAGGGATCTTGCGGATACTCGATTGCAGGCCCGCTCATGTACACTGAGGGCTGGGCTTCCAATGGACGGCTCGGACACAGCGGAGCCGAACAGGATTTGCTGGTGGGAGACGAGCTCGCAAAATTTACGGTGAGTGGCAAACAGCCATGATAGACGTTATGATGGGGGCGCTGATGTGACCCAGCAGGACAAGGCCCCTCTCGTTGGTAAAACTGGCCATGAAAGCTCTGTAGCGAAGGCAGGAACAGAAGACGTTTGCAGCGTCATCACAGATGACTCTTCTCGTCCTGTTACTCCAACATCCCTGCTGTCCGGTGTCTCCTGCGCGCATGCACACATCAACACGAAGGCGGAGTACGTGGACGTCATGGCCGCTGAGCAAGCGGTGCTGGCATCGGTGAATTTCCGTCCATTCGGTAGCGAGACAGGCCGTACAGATGTCGACAATGCGGTTGAGGTGCCCAGCATGGATATTGAGCGCTCAGGCTTCTCAGTGGTCACCATTGCCTCGTATCTCGAAGCCGCTCCCCTGCAGCAGGGCGAAAGCGAGGGAGAGATTGAGCAGACGGAAATCGGGGATATCACTGCTCCACATGCGTTATCCCCGGCAGGGTTGCAGTTCTACAGGGAACTCTTCGCATACTGGGCTTCATCGAGGACATCTACGGAACAGCCGGTCGTCAAGAAGCCCGACACAATGAATACACTCGCCACGATGTCGAAGCTCACCAAGATGAAGAAGACTGCCGCAGTTAGAAAGCCAGGCATGAAGCTGAAACGTCGCCCTCGGTGGGGAGCGGTGGACAGCATACCTGTTTACGTCGATAACACTCGAGCATGGCAGGAATTTATGGCAGCTGTCTGGAACGAGTTGGCTGATGGGTGCAATCGTCGTGGTGCTGCCATGCAGCCTACAGAGGAAGAGGCCAGGGACGATCAGGTACGTGCCCCCAACCGCAGAGGTGAAGATTGTTAGGGCTGACAAAGAGGTGATGTGATATCCACAGGGACCCGAGGTACCAGTGCACGATATTGTGCGCGATATGGAAGACAGGGCCACAGACGATTCGAGCCAGGCCGTTGCTGGCCGAGCTGTGACGGGATCAGGAACGAAGTATCGGCCGGTGACTATACAGGAGAGGCTAGAGCTGACCAAGACGAAGCAGCTTGCATGCCTAGAGAAGTACAGGATACAACTGGCCAAACCATCTGAGGACGAATACCTCTCATTGATGGGTCACGAAGCAAGGCTTCACATTCTCGGCATGATGGTCGTCATGCGTGCCATCAAGAAGAAACAGATGCAGGCTGCCTAGAGGTCGCAGATCCAAGGGCAGCATTGCAGGCGAGCTAAATTGCGAATATGATTGCGGCGAGAATGAAGGGGTGGGGGTGCGAGTATTCCGACGGAAGGCGGGTTTAGAGAGGAATCACAAGAGCTACGCGATTTTGCGTTAAAGCTTTCTAGGAGAGACTGTATTCAACTACATGTCTCGCATGGAAGAGTGCATGTACTCACAATGTATATAATGTCCGATTATTGTCCGTTCAGCCGGAACTTGCGAGTGAACGCAATGTGAGCGCAAGTGGCTAAGCAGCTCTAGATGCCTTAGCGAGTAAAAACAACGTGTTCGTGCTGCGCATGAGTGTTGCAGGCCTGCTTTGTCCCTCGCCACATCCATGGACGGATTTCTTCTCCGGCTACCACTGTGCAACGATAACATAAGATATGCTTCTCGCACGCATCTTCCAGAAATGGCGCTGCATCCGCAGTTATCGACACCAGATTGGTCGCCTTCATCGACTGTGAGTGGCGATCCTATCGCGTTGGGCCTTCATGACGCAATGAATGAAGCATAGTAGACCGTTTTAGCGGATACCGGTCCTCGTCTGCTTGAACATTACGGAATACCATTTCTGCGCTACCACCAGATCCTATGGCTATCACTGTCCCGGTATCGATCACCGACCGGAGGTTCAATTTTGTTTGACCGTTGTCGTTTACTGGTGACTTGCAAGAGGTATCGTTCGCTCTCCATCACAATGATCGTTTCATCAACAAATAGTGGACTACATAGTAAGTAAATCATTCCGTGCACGAGCAACCGACAGTTCATGTCACCGCACCTAGAGACGACTCGCCATTCAGACAACCCGCTGCTCATCCGTGCGTAGTCCTCATGACCATTCCGTATGAGCAACCTATAGCGGCTTCGGCTGTCGCTGGACGGCCCAATTCGGTTATCCAGCAAGCTTTCGTATTAACAGCATTGGATCAGGGATGTGGTATGCTTCGAGAGTTCAGAATGCAGAACGTTGAAGTCCTCAGTGTACAAGCAGCCAGTTTGCTATGGCCGATCTTTGGTGACGACGTCCGCATCCTGTCCACACAAGTAGTGAGTCAATATGGCTCCCATCAATGACTGAGTGGCTTTGGCGTTCGGAACGGACAGTGCGATTTAAGGGTGCTCGACGAAATAAAGTGGATGGCAGCGCGCAGAGGAAATCCTGCGGCAGTTGCCCGACTCGGCTGGAAATCTTTTTCACCAAAAGTGTGTTTCTGACATTTCCCTCTATATGCAAGTTTTGTTATAAAAGCGTAAAGGAGTTTATGCCAGAAATGCCGCCACGAATGGACGGCAGATATTCTGCGCCACAGGCGCGTCTGCCGCCGCCGGGTGTCTCAGTGTCTCTCGCATATTGCAAATGCGGCAATCTACAAAGAGCTAAAGTACACAGCCCAGAACTATTCAGTATGTGTTGATTTGTGAAGAACTCTGAATTAAAAGCCGAACTGAGATATGCACCACCATCATCATCAGGGGTTCTGGTATTCGTGAGCCCACATGGGCCACAGTCATTGGTCATGGACCGTCAACAACACAGATTGCGGAAAGATCTTCACGTAACTCAACGCAGGACTACGTGAACAAGTCTCAACTTCTTCGTCGCCTGAAAGCCGCCCGGTTGAAATGTGGATGACTGGCGTCCGTTCATACACGAGTTACGTGCATGGTTATGTGCGCTCCGAGTCTCTGGACCACAATGCCAAAGTCAACGATCCATCTGAACTCAACCTTCGGCTACACACAGGTGAGAGAATTGCCTAGAGGTGAGCTTCCTAGCCTTCGGCAGTGCACATGCGATCATGTGTGCAGGGATCTCGTCGATAACCTGCGTCAGAGAATGTGGACGCTACGTTGTTACAGTTTCATATCAGGTTTCACGACGCACGTGCAACACGAGGCTTATTATACGAAGGAATATCAGCCCAGTCCAACTTGGGTGAAGAGGCGACGAGCGCCGGTTCCAAATAACAGGCGCTGCAGAAAGACGGGGCAGCAGAGTAATACAATAATATGAGCAACCGATCACAATTATAGCAGGGCTGAATAGACGAACAGGCGCCGGAGAAAGATGGTACAGTTGAGTAACACGAGCGGTGAGCGGGTACGATTATAAAAGGGTTGAATACACGAGTAACATGCAGAATGACAGAAAAGGAAGCGCAACCACAATCGTGGAGTGAAGTCGTCGACAACGGCAGCAGCTACGACTCCTAGGATAGAGGATCAGGGCCATCCTTCAATAGATAGATGTGGTGGAAATCGAACGACGCTTTGCAACGACTAGACAAGACCGTCATGCCCGCTCCTGCTGCGCCCGCCCGTCCGGTGGCAGGCAACACTCCTCCCACTAGGAACCAAGAGGAATCGACACTCAATAGAATATGGGCTATTGCACAGGTACTGTCGTCAACAGTTCAATCATTGAGGCAGTGTGCTCACTCGATGCATCTCCAAGCAATTTATTGTAATGTATTTGAAAATGCAACTTGGTACGTCGCCGCTTAGCTCTCGCAATGGTTTGTGCTCACTCTTCCGAAGCGAATAAGTTCTTCACGGCCAAGGAGCAACCTGCCGCGCCGCCTGTACCCTTGGCGATGGTAACAGACGGCGTATCGCAAGGACAGTCACCCAGCCAGATTCCGCTGCTCCCTACAAGCGCACAGCCTGCATGGCCGCTTGGAATACCTCTCGCGATGTACGGATACCTATCGACTTCGCCTACGGGCGAGGTCTTCTCAAATCAGTGGACCTCCGAATGGCAATTCTGGGCTATCGCACTGTGTCTGGGAGAATATCACGTATGGAGACTGGAAGGAAAAGCGCACGGTGGATTTCATGGTGGATTTGCCTGAGGTGAGAGCAGTCTGTCAATTCGGATTGGGCGAGGCGTAACGCTGATCGCGGTGCAGAGCGTGCAACACAACGCCTCGTTGTGTGCAGATATATTCCTGGTGAGGGACGGTGCGAGTCCGGATCCCTCAAAGCCGAACTACGACATCAGGGCAATTCACCACAGTCACAAATGTGCATTCTCATTTTATGTCTTCCGCAATTCTTTAACAGTGGTATGCAGTGTTGACGCGATACCTGCCCAAGCTCAAAGTGCGTAAGAAGAAGAACCTTCTAACTGCACAACAAGAAGAGGAAGAGGAGCTCGAAGAGCGACAGGTAAGTATGCCCAATTGACAACCGTTGGAGGATAGGCTTATGTATGTTCTAGGCAGATGCCATTGTCTCTCACTGGCATCCGGTACGTCAGCGAACGCCATGATGTCGTCTGCGGAGATGCGGTATTCATCGTCTTTCAATTTTGAATTGCGTGTCGCAAAGTTCCGTACATTGTCGAACAGAGTGACCTGATAGATCGCAAATTATTGGACGGAGGGAGGACAAGGAATGCAAAGAGCATACCGTCTAATCGTCTTCGCATTTAACCGCGGCAGTGCTTTACAGCCTGTCTCGTTCCGGCAGTGATGGAACTAGATTGAGCATTGCCTTCTGAGGTAGAATGAATAAGAGACATACGCGTGGTGTGGCATGGACCGTATACGTTCGGACCATTGGGTGAATCGCTGTAATAGAGCAGAAGGCGGTCACGCAGAGCTCGTCAGCCCGTACTAACGGGTCGATTGTAACCATTGCGCGCTTCTTGGTTAAGCTGTGGAGAACAGCGATGACGTCGAAATCTCCACAGCTTACTAGGGATTACGTAAAGCGGAGCGGACACTGCAGAAATAACTAAATACCATTCTGTTATTTGGAATCTCGAGAGGGGGCGTTCTCCTTAATATCGCCTGTCGAATCGCTCCCGAAAACGCGATTTTATAGGTCTGCCTAGGGGAGACAAGGCGTTCTCCCCTTCCATCCCTACTTCCTCATGTCAGACCGCCCAAAAATTGACCAGAAAGTCCTACGGCGGGACTTGAAACGAGCGGCGTCCCCATTCAACAAGAAGAGCGCCGACATCATCATCCGGTCAGCAGATGGGATGAACTTCCAGTGCCACAAGGCGGTGCTCACTCTAGCATCGCCGGTATTCGAATGCATGTTCCATCCCCCGCAGTCGACCGCAACCGGCGTAACAGACATCGATTCAGCAATAGGCGTAACAGACGTCGATACAGCAATAGGCGTAACAGACGTCGATACAGCAACCGGCTTGCCGATTGTCTGTGTCACAGAAAATAGCACGGCGTTGGATGGTCTTCTGCGTTTGTGTTATCCTAAGCAGAATCCTGTCCTTCACCGTGCGTCGGAGGTGATAGAGTTGTTGGAAGCAGCACAGAAATACCGAATGGGAGAAGCGATCCGGCACTTGGGCGATGCGCTGAGCAAGTATGTGGAGAAGTCTGCTTTGCAGGTCTATGCAGTTGCATGTCGGTTGGGAATGGAGGAGCTTGCAAGGAAGGCGGCTGTTAAGCTCAAATCACAGGAGACGATCACGCAGGGGCCAGAGATGGAGCGCATGTCTGCCGGTGCCCTCCATCGACTCTTCCAGTTCCGCAATCCGAATGTGCGAGGTCCTGCTCACTGCTTCACATTCTGTCGTCCGACGTCAATTGATATGCTCCAAGTGGTAACGACCACTATAAATCCTGTCGGGGCAGAACCCTTCATACATCCTTCCGCCGACACCATTGTGCTCTCTTCTGACGGCGTCCAATTCCGCGTGTATAGAAACATCCTCGAACTTGCGTCTCCTGTCTTCGCAGATATGTTGAGGAATTCTGGAGCTAGCGACGGTCATCCCGAGCCGAGCACAGAGCCACCGCTTGTCCGGGTCGCAGAGGATGGCAGGACAGTGCATACGCTCTTGCAATTGTGTTATCCAATGGAGGCCCCCGTTGTTGAAGGGTTCGATGCCGCGCATGCACTTCTTTCTGCCGTCAAGAAGTACGGGGTCACATCCGCGTTGGCATGGGCGAAGCGGTCGTGGGTGGAGCAGATGAAATATGATGCATTGCGAGCTTGTTTACTCGCCATGCAGATGGGATGGGAAGATGAAACAGAGGAGGCGATTCGGCTTCTGCCCGCTAAGGACCACCAGTGGTTTCCGGAGATGGAAAGTATCCCAGCATCGTACTACTTCATGGCACTGGAACGGCGGCGTAATCGTTCCAAATCCCTTTCAGGGCCCTCAACAGGCTCAACTACAGAGAACATAGCCTGCACGGTAGGATTGGTGATTGTTATCGGGCTTTGGGAAGCCGCAAAGTTAGTGTGGCACTGGTTAGTGAATGTCTGACAATATATTGGGTACGCTGTTCGTGGCATTGTGCGCTTGGCTCTGAATAACGAAACTTTGATAGGTCAGCATTTTTGAGACATTCCTGCGCTAACGATAACTCGAGCAGGATCCAGAACACAACTATTCGTTGTGAACCATCGCAGTGTTGAACGCATGCGTCATCATCTTGCCGCCGCTATGCTACATCTGACAAATGAAGAGACCTGGGGAGTCAGGACATATGCATGGTAAAGTAAAGTAGTTCACCGTAGAATTCTTCGGGTCATTTCCGCTTTACTTGTTCTCGTGCGCAGAGGCGGTTCAAACGGAGCATTTCAGCTTCGACCTCACGTATATGTGCGATCCCATTTGATGTTCCGATAACACTATCAAATCCTGAGGCACGCAATACATGAATATTTCGCTTGACCTCCTGTAAGGCAACTAGCCATGTAGAAAATGAGGACGCCCTTTCTGGTTCCAAGAGCTGCCAGTCGATTTCGGTGCCCAACTTAATGTGCGCCACAGGCGCGTAAACGCCCGACGAAACCGAGCGCGTCGACCACGTGGCGGCTTGCCATTACTTGCTACCCAGTATACGATACATCGCGATGCTTTGTCATAGCTAGAGACCAGGCTTGAAAGCTTGAAGGCTTACTTTGTTCCTCGCCATAGTAGCGACTGAAATACTGCCATTTGTTCGAGGAATCATTAATCAGCAACCAAGAACGTGTCTCATTAGACGCCGAAAGTCCTCGTTCTCGTTTAGCCATCGCCGTCTCGCTGAGTGGACCGCTAGCTCTGCCCTATGCTCCCTTTTCCCGTAGTTGCACCGGAGAGGCGACGGCTCAGTCGAACTAGCGTCAGGAGGCATAAATGTGTCTTGCTCGCTCGTGCTCACATAGCGAACCTCGATGTCTTGCTGCTCGCAGATTTTATCGCCCTATCATTAAGGCTGAACTTGAGGTACTATCTCTCCCCTGCGCGGGTCGACATGGCATCGTCCTCGCCACCCACGACCACCTTCCAGCTCACGACCACCTTCCAGCTTGCTGGCGACTGTTCTGCACAGCGATGCATTGTCGTCCCTGAACCATCTCATCATCATTCCTTATCACGGTGTTTGGCAAGGGCATGATCCGCAGAAGAGGCTAGATGAGGATGATTGAATATAGGAGGATTATCAAGGAGGCGGTGGGTAGGTCTCTGCGCTGAATGGGTGTATCGTTACTGGGTGGGTGCTGCTTGTGCTTTCTGATATACTAATGCCCAATTCATGACCATAACAATGTAGAGTGGAAGAAGGTCACTGTCGTCGGCCACGAAATTAAGAGGCAACGTCTTCGAACTGCATCGTGCCGCGGCACGTTGGCCCAGATCGAGATTCTACTACGTCGGCATAGATGCTGAGGGTGAGGAAGGACTGAAAGCCCAGGAAGGCGAGGTACGTGTGGGAGGCGCTTCCCGTAGGGCGCGCGATGCTGAATTTTCGTCTTGCAGACATTGAAAGGCTACATGTCGTATTCTGTTGACATTTACAGGTGTCACGACTTCCTGCTGTCGAAACGTCGCTCACGGAACCCTTTCAAACGGTTCCACTCATATTACACTTCTTCGCCCGAACTCGGCCCCCTTCTTGATTGATGCCCAGATACTGCCGATGGCGGTCGGGCTGCCCTATTTTACAGACTCTCCCTTGGGACTATCTTCGACCATCCGTCGTGGATGCAGGCTCATAATGTCTCCGTCGTTTCGATACACTACGAGGACTTTTAAGCTTATTGTCACCATCCTTGTCGCGGTACATTGGAAACCCCATCTTATGAAGCGTACATCCACACTGATTCCATCAGGCTGGTCTTGATAGGCAGACGATAGAACTTCAGCTTTTTAGTCACTTTGTATGGTGGCTCACAAGCCGGTTGTTAGCCTATTGTTGCATAACATTAACCAGTACAACCTCGATCTCCATATACTGAGTGGACTGCGAGTCGAATGCTTTCTTTATTACTACCGCCATACAGATCACTGATGGCCTCTCATTCAGGGATCACGAAATGATGGACGTCCGTCCTGCTTGCGCACCGTCGTCCTGAGTATTTGGGTTTCCGACAGTTGCTGCATCACTGTACCGTCCATCTCCATCACCCAGTAAGCTTCAGATACTTCACTTGATCATCTATCCATTACATTGTTGCACATG